CTAGTGTTGATCTTCAATTGACTAATATCTCCATTACTATCACATATTTATTTTATTGAATCCTATTTTTCACATGCCTTTTCATCCATCTAATTGTCACAAATCTAGAATTATTGAACTGTGGTGTCCACACCCAGTATAAACATCTATTCTTTGGCCTTGTGCGATGAAAATCGTTCTTTGTTTACGTGTTTTGCGCCCACTCGGGGGGGGTGGGTTGGAGGTTCCTGATTTCGCTGAAGGCGGGGGCTTCCTCTTGTTTGGTCGACACGCGTCATGATGCCTTTTATCCTCTTGTGTTGTTTCTTTCTTCTGGGGGGTTCGATTTCGACAAATAATTATAGCAATTCTTATATTATAGATAATGCTTTTTTATTAATTAGGTTGTAATTTGCGAAATGACTTGTTGAACTTGAATTCCTATACTTTACTTGACCAAGACGTGCAAGTAGTTTCACAATTTTATATTTTCCTTTTGCGTTTAATAAGCTTAATTTGGCTACTAAAAATGTTTTTACCAATCTACAGATCTTTTATTCTAAAAATGCAATCATATGTTTATTTGACATTTATCAATGAAATTTAATAGTTGGGCTTGGAAAGGGATTATGCTAGTTAACAGTTTGATATATGAGGAAAATTGCGGAGCTCCCACGCAGTTCGGTTGGTGGGTAAAACCAGACAAACCCCACAAAAGTATTGATTGCAATTGGAATGAATTAGCAGGAAAAATTGTCCCAGTGTTGTTTCAATGTCGCCCCCCCAACGAGGTGGCAAAAAATCACCCCACACCCCCCCACAAACCCACAACACACCAACCAAACCAAAAAAAAAAAAAAAAAAAAAAAAAAAAAAAAAAAAAAAAAAAAAAACACCATCTGCGTCTCATCATATTTCTTGGATAGCTGTGAACTTTTTTCTCGCTTGTTGTTATTTGCTTTTAATGTATGTCCTATCTTTTCCCAGTTGTCAAAAGAGTTTTGGAAAAATTAAGGAACCCCACCCAACTTCTCAGTGTGGAATATCAATTTTCACGGATTATATGATGGTGGCTGGATCGAGCATTACAGTATCTCTATTAATCCAATAATCTTCAGTGTATAATATCAATAACGAAGAGGATATTATACTTGCATAGTGTTAAATGACTCTTGACTTGCGGAGTTAAACGCCTTGTGGGGTTTATGTATATACAGTCATTTATAGAACTTCAGATTTGACTATATAGTCTACATGAGTACTGGTGGAAAATTATGTCAATGAAATAGTTATTTAACATATGCAATGTCGATTAACTATGTCCATTGTGACAAACTGTTAGCCTTTTAACATTTGTTAAAAATCATTTACTAAGTGTCAAGTTAACTAAGTTGAATATTTATTTGTTGTCAATAATTGTATTTAATTCACAAAGCTCTTGAATCAGTAGTTTAACACTGTCAGGCAACTTATAATTGTTGTGATTCATAGACTACATTGTAATTGTAAATAAAATATTTTGGGCTGAGACAGGGGATTAAATTTACCACAAACTAGTTAGGCTATTTTGAAATTATTAGGATGATCGTAAAACAAATAAACAGAGGAGTATAAAATCACATAATACAAATTCTTTTTTAAAAATAGTAGGTATATTAATAATGTACAATATAAATAAAGGGCGTTAAAAAAAAGTAATTGAACAAATGGAGAGTTATATATATATTTTAAATCTAACAATTCTTTATGACATTTAAAATATATAAATACAATTTGGGTAGATATTTTGGGAAAGTTATAAGATTCTTGAATGTAGGTTTTAGAAAACGTCCGAGTGGGATTGGACATATGTCGGTAGTTATTAAATGTTAAATTCAATAAACTATGTTATTTAAAGTCCTAATAAGTCATAATGTAAATTTCCAAATCTACTTAATTAACTGCAATCAATGCAAGACTTTTAATATAGAAGAAAGAAGAATATTTGATCCAGTAAAATGTTGCAAGCATTTTAATAATTTATTTTGTAGTTAATTGAATTAATAAGTATGTCACAATTCAATCGTCTTACCTAATAAGGATGAGATGATACTATATGAGTAGTTAAGCATATATATCCTTGTCAAGCTACATAATATGTAGTAACGTTTATTTATGTGACGGCCCCCACTAAAACTAGAATTAGTAAGATGTTTAGTCCTTCCATACAATAATTTTGTGTTTTAAGATAATCAATATAAGCTTTGAAAGAGTTCAATATGATTAATCTCAATAATTAGATCTTAGAAAAAAAAAAAAATTATTTAGTTCTTTGGTATTGACATATATATGATGGTACCGAAATCGTAGTACAACAATACTTCTCAATTAATCAATAATTATTTGGTGATGCATTAATCTGAAATCAATATATGTCATGGCTGTCAAATGATTGTGGCTTGGATTGGCTAACTAGTAGAACACACTCATGTTTTCCTCGCAGCTCATAGTAACAATCTCGTGTATTTTGTATTGTTATTTTTCAAATTCACTTCAACAATTAATCTTTAATTGAACTGTTTTTTGTAAAATGTTAAATCAACATTAAATTTTATGTTTTTCAAATTGGATAACACTTTCTATTATGACTTTTGAAAGTTTTTTGAGTGAAACAGTAGAAACAATGGATGAGAATCAACTCATCGTCAATCAAAATTAATGAAGCCTTAATTAAACCACTCTCATTGCTAGTTCTGTATAAATGTATTATGTTACAAACTATGTGTACATGTAATCAAAATTTTGAACCCCATATCCACAGTTGATTTATCAGACCTTCTAAGTTAACACCTCGTACATGGGATTCAATTCTATATATTATATAAATGTTGAAAATATCCTCTATTAGATTTTGAGTATGATAGTTTGATGGTATCAGTTGTGTGTAAGCCTTACATGAACACCCATTATGACTAGAGTTAGAGAGATTGTAGTATGGTACAATCAAAAAAAGAAAATAATTATAAATACAATTGATGAAAAGGAATCAATGTAATGAGGCGTGTCACTTTTAGAGAAGGCAAGGATTGGAGCGATGACAGATGGTAGGTGGAATCAGGGGTCCATGATATCCTTTTCAATTAGCTTTTCACCTATCCCATTCCCGCCTTAATGAGTCATAAATAAGTTGATTAGTTTAATCCTAAAATATCTCAATTAATTACAAATAGGCATAAATTCACTGAAATATTCTCTATACACACCTATAATCGTTGTCTCCCATTTCCTTGCTAAATTATTTGGTTTTGGTATGTTAAAGACAAGTATAACAAATTACATGATAAGATTATTTCTAATTAATTCTAATGAGTAAAGTTTTGAGACTTAATTAATTACTTGTACCTTGAGAACAAATTATAATTTACTTACTGTAACCAAAATTTAATTATTCAATCAAATTGCATAAACTTGGGTTTTACTTTTGTTAAATTTAATTTGACTTTGTTTAGTGCAAGGGAAGATAACTGTACTGAAACCAGAGCTTAGTATTTAGTTCTTGCTGCACCTGCTAATATTTTTTTTTCATGTTTCTCTTCGAAGAAATTAGTGTTAATTTCTAATTTTTATACTGACCAAGGCTTAAAAGGATCCAATGAGGAGTGACGGACACCCTCATTCACACCTGACAAAGTCTATCATCTTTCCTTACAATTGCTACTAATTGCTTTATGACTGTATTGAGTACTATTAACAAATTAATATGGCTTTATTTTTTCATTTTAATTTTTCAATATATAATATATTTTTTTACTTTTAATCTACAAATTTGCTTTATGACTGTTAGAGGAAGGTTCTCTTGCAAATGTTTCAATTAATTAATTACTTAGGTTATGACTTATGATTACAATAAATATGGAACTATTATGAAAGTGTTATATTTTTGAAGTTTCCTTTACAATAATTTTAACATAGCTTTTAATTTCTTGCTTTATTACTTCAATCATTGTCCTCACTTATTTATCCACGCTCTATTTCTTTTTCTCCTTTTTCAAAAGCTTAGAATTTAAATAGTTATGAATTGACGAATAAAAGAAATGAAACCGTGTTTTTAAACCATTAATTCTATTTTCATTAACTAATATACTATACCTATTTTTAAAAAAAAATTTCAAGAAAAATCAAGTCACAAATAAACATAAATTGACGGAAGTTCTCGAACACTTATTATTGTAGAATTGTTTTCTCCTAGTCGATAATGTCTAAACATGTTAACCTCTTTAATTTGTTTATGCCTATTTTTCTAAACTTATAATTCGCTTTCAGTGTTTGTTTAAATATGCTGAAATTAATAAGATGCTTCCAAATAGTACTCTGTTAACAAAAAATGATAAAGACCGTCTATATATTTGAAGTTTCCTCGTATAGAATATGAGATGCTTTTGTTGACCAATAAGTCAAAGGACTGAGGTGCAATTTGTAAATTGTAAAGGAATGAGTTGTTATTAGTTAAAAGACAATGTCATTTTAGCAAAGTTCATTAAAGTCAGTCCCTTAACTATATAACAAATAGCTATATTAATAGAGTTTTTGATATTTTTCACAGGATTTTCAATACTTTTTAAACAAAGTGGAAGAGTTTAATATTAATCGATCTACAAGAGAGAAAGTGAAATATAACCTATTTTCTGCATTTACTAATAATATAAATGACTTGATTCTTGTCTCAAAATACTTTCTAATTGTTTTATATATAGCTAAACATAAATTTCCTACCTTGAATCTTAATGTGACAAAAAAAAAATAATAATAATAATAATAATAATTCTAGTACTAGGGAAGTATCAAGCAGCTTGTGTTTATGGCAAAAATAAAAAAAAATGATCATCTTCCTCTTTTTGTTATTATGTGTTGCCAGAGAAGTTTTTTTTCTATTTCACAAAATTGGATTAAAGCTGGTTACTGGTATGCTGGTAGTGAATTTCCCATATCAGAAATAAATTCTGCCTTGTTTACTCACCTTATATGTGCTTTTGCCAATGTAGACTCTTCCACTTACCAGCTCTCCATCCCATCTGCCAATGAACAATACTTCTCAAGCTTTATTGGTACCATCAGAGGCAAAAGTCCATCCGTTACAACTCTTTTGTCAGTCTGGAATGGACAGAATGCAACAGGTCAATCCATATTGGGCAACAAAGTGAACTATTCAGTTCTATCTTCAATGGTTAGTGATTCTTCTCATAGGAAGTCTTTTATTGAATCTTCGATTGTTGGAGTCCCACATCGATTAGACACGCTCAAGCTTATTGGGTTGTAAGAGGAGGTAATCCTCTCATTCAACAAGGCCTTATTGGGTGAGGAGTCAGACCCACCTCAAATTCTATTATAGTATCAGAACTCAGGTTCAGTTGAGTTGAGCGCTTGACTAGCGGGTGAGGAGTTAGAACCAGCAACTACCTCCAATAACAGGTATGACCCAACATATGGGCTTGACCGTTAGAGAGAGTGTTGGAGTCTCGCATCGACTAGGTACGCTCAAGCTTATTGGTTTATAAGAATGGGTAATCCTCCCATTCAATAAGACCTTATTGGGTGAGGAGTCAAACTCATCTCAAATTCTATCAGAAAAACCGCCAAGCGTTATGGATTTAAAGGGATTGATATGTTCTGGCTGTGACCTAACCAAAGTATGATTGAGTTGCTATTTGCTTAGATATGGATGGCAATTGACACACGGCATTCCCTGCACATTCTTAAGAATTGGGAAAAGATAACATTAATGCTCAGTTGACCTGAAGTCTTTCTAGCAAACAGTTGTGGTTCTATGGCCACAATCAAGGCGTATTAACCCTTACTTGACTTGACTTGACTCGAAGAAGAAGTTGGCTCTGGCTGTGTTTGTTTTACAAAAATCATGACGTCTAGGAAAGAGTCTTTCTAGTGAATTCTCCAAAATGACAGCTGACGTCATTATATTAATAAACTTTTATGACGTAGTCAAGATGCTATGAATTCTCCAATCGTTTAACCTTCTTAGCAAGGCAAATAAGTTGGGCATTTTGTTAATAACAACTCATAAAATTCTACAACTTGATGGCCAGTCTTTCGTATGTGTATGGCAATATTCGACCTTCAGAATTATGTAGAATTCAAAATACACAAGGAAAATGACTTCTTTTACTATAAATATCAACCATAGCAATACTTTCTTTACAAAGCTTTAATGGCTTCAAAAAATACTACAGGTGTTATCTTCCATGTTTTGCTCTCTTCAGCAATAATAATATTGCAACATGCAACAGCACAAACCTGGATTAAAGCCGGTTACTGGTATAAAGATGGCGGTTTGCCCACTTCGGAGATCAATTCCGCTCTCTTTACTCACCTTCTTTGCGCTTTTGCTGATCTGAATTCCACCTCCTACGAGCTGTCAATTCCACCTTCGGATACAAATAGTTTCTCCACCTTCACGGAAACTGTGAAAAAAAATAACCCATCAGTCACTACTCTTCTATCCATTGGGGGTGGAGGCCAAACACTTTCAACCAACTTTTCTTCAATGGCTGCCAATTCTTCTTACAGAAAATACTTCATTGATTCCTCGATGAAAATAGCTAGACGTTAGGGCTTTGGAGGCCTAGACCTTGCTTGGGTTCCTGGATTATCAAGCTCCGACATGACTAACATGGGTACTCTCTTTCAGGATTGGCGAACCGCTATAGAATCAGAGCCAAGAAACTCTAGCCAGCCACAACTGATCTTGACCGCAAGGGTCGATTATACACCGAAGGGCATACGTCCTGGAAGTTACCCTACACAGTCCATGCAACAATACTTGGATTGGATTCATGTTCAATGTACTGGATACTACACGCCACAAAAGTCGAACTTTACGGGCGCTCATGCCGCTCTGTATAACCCGACTGGTATTCTTAGCGCGGATTACGGTATAAACACGTGGATTGAGGGAGGATTGTCCGCAAATAAGTTGGTTTTGAGCTTGCCTTACTTTGGATATGCATGGACGCTAGTGAATCCTGATGATAATGGAATTGGTGCACCGGCAATTGGGCCAGCCATTACAACAGATGGGTTTATGCGATATAGAGGTATCAAGGACCGTATAAGGCAACATTTATCTAGTGTTAAAGTTGTATATGATGCAACTTATGTTGTGAATTACTGCACAATCGGAACAGCTTGGATTGGTTTTGATGATGTTGAGGCTGTTAAAGCTAAAGTTTTTTATGCCAAGGAGAAGGGCCTGCGGGGTTACTATGTGTGGGAAGTTCCCTACGATTATAATTGGGTGCTTTCAGAAGTTGCAGGTAAATTATAAGCTATTAGTGATTCACTTGTTTGGTTTTTAACTGGAGAGAAAAACTTTATGCACCGTGAGGTTTTGGTCAACTATTTTAGGTCCTGCATTCTAAAATATTAAAATATACTCCTTTTGAATTTAACACGCTTACATAATCGGTTAATTGGGAGCATTCTTATTATTTAAGAACCAAACTACCTGTCATTTTGATGTTGTGCCAGTTTTAAAAGTTCAGATTCTACTCTCTGACTATTTAATGTTTGTTACAATCAAGGGAGTATATCCTAGGGGGTTGGAAATTTTTTAGAAATACTACTTGATTATATGTATATTTTAACAGATTTCGTCGTTACCATAAACTTTTATTAAGAGAAAAAGAAGAATCATACACCTATTAGGAGAACATAATAACCCTATCCTTCAAATTTAGTTTTTTAGATTTTTGTACAAATTAATGTGGTAGGAAATGAATTGAAGAGTGTATACAAAGAGTCAAACTTATCATATTCACTCTTTTATTCATTTTTTATCACATCAATTTGTACAAAAATCTTTGTAAAATTTGTTTGTACGTCTAGCATTACTCCTTTACTTTATGTTGGGGAAGGTGGAGAAATTATATATATATAATAAATTTTTTTTTATAATGATACTCTATATAAAAATAACTTTTATATGATAATGTTTTGAAACCCAATCTGGGGTGTCACCCGACCAAGGGACCAAGTCCCGGGTTGACCAGTTAAACCAAAGGTCTGACTGATGATCAAGGTTTAAGATCTAGCAAACACATGCTTGAAAAGTATAACGGTCCCTACAGGTTTGAAATCTAGCAAACACACCCTTATCATAGTTAGGTTTTCGCTTTTCCATCCAAATTCTGGCTTATTACAACGGCCAAATTCAACCACCACCTGAACCATCGGCCTCCACTCTATAAAAACCTCAATCCCGAGACTTGGTAACCTCCCGTTTGTCGGCCGTAACTCGTCATAACTGCTTACTGGCCCTTATAATAATACATTATAATTTTTCTAGATCTCATCTTAAGGAACTTGCCTCCGCATAGTAATAATTATTTGTATATTATAAAAAATATATGTTATTTTACATTAAATATTTAAGATAGCATAACATATTTTCAGTCAATTGAGTTATTGTATTAACTTTGGGTGGCATGGTTGATTTGCTAAAAGAAGAAGGAAAGATATCGATATCACTTGAATTGGTTGAAGATTGCATGGGTTGTATTATAGTACAATGTATTTATAAAATTTACATTGAGAGAAACACATTAAAGAGAATGCAAAATTTTATACTTTTAAGATGACTTTGCATATTCTCAACATTACATAGATATATGTACTAGTTTTTGTGAAACCATGTCAATCTCTTTATCAATGCCTATACTTGGATTTGACATGCTCTATTAATTAGTTATTAGTGTATTGCATACTTTACCTCTATACCACTTGCACTTAGTTATCCTTGCTAAACATAAATTTATTGTAAAGTATCTTTGTGGATCGTTTTATAATATAGTGATCATTTTTCATTTTGGGAAAAAAAAAAAAAAATTCTCAGCTACAGAGGATAATAAAAGAGGAAGAAATAAGACAAATTTGCTAGTAATCGTCCTGACTGTTACAATAGCAACTGTTCTCCTACTAGCAGTTGTTATATATTATTGCTGGGGGAGAAAGCTCAAATTTGAAGGTAACATTTTCAGCTTNGGTATTCATAGATGGAGGTTCCTCAGCAACTATCCTATTCCTTGAAGCGGTGAAGGCTATGGGTCTGAAAGAAGCAAACATCAACAGGCAGCTAACACTGCTGGTCGGTTTCAGTTCTGAGCAGAAGTACACCATCGGAGAAATCATCCTTCCTATTTACGCTAGCAGAGTAAACAAACAGACAGTCTTTCTAGTGATCGATTACCCTTCACCATACAATGTCATCTTGGGCCGACCCTAGATCCATGACATGCAAGCGGTCCCATCCACTTTCCACCAGACGATAAGGTTTCCTACCAAATAGGGAGTACGAGAGATCAAGGGTGACCCTAAAGCTTACAGAGATTGCTACAAGAATGCCTTCAAGGGCAAGGGGAACATTTCATAGCAATCACAGTCCCATCCAAACCCTCCGATCGAGCCGAATCAACCATCTATGAAAGAGTTGGATGAAGTACAGATACATCAGGACGATCCCGAGAGAAAGACACATATAGGTTCCCGCCTCAAGCCCGAGACAAGAGAGAAGCTGATAGAATTCCTCAGACAGAACCAAGACTGTTTGCCCGTTCCCACGCTGACATGACGGGAATCAATCCAGAGGCAATAGTCCACCAACTCAAGGTAGATCCGAATCACCCGCCGGTGAAGTAGAGGAGAAGGAAATTTGCACTAGAGCGTAACCGGATCGTCAATGAAGAGATTGAAAAGCTTCTGAGCAATGGTATGATCAGAGAGGTCCACTATCCCGAATGGCTGGCGAATGTCGTGGTCGCAAAGAAAAAGAACAGAAAGTGGAAAGTCTGCATCGACTTCACGGACTTAAACAAAGCCTGCCCCAAGGACTCCTTCCCGCTCTCACATATTGGTCTATAAGTACATGCCGAACAGAAGCTTGGACTACCACTTTTTTGGTACAATAATTTCTCTTCAACTAACTTATTTTCGCAGCTTTGAAAACATTGATTTGAGTATTACTAATTTGTGTTTAATAAATAAATGCAGACCCTTGTAGACGAATTCTTTTGGATTGGACAAAACGTGTTCAAATCATAGAGGGGATTATCCAAGGGCTAGTGTATCTCCAAGAATATTCGAGATTGACTATTATTCACCAAGACCTGAAACTTAGTAATATATTATTGGATGAAAATATGAAGCCTAAAATATCAGATTTTGGTATAGCCAAATTTTTTGTGGAAAATAATCATCAAACAGAACGAATCATTGGAACATAGTAAGTACACATCAATCTTCTTTTCT